AACTTCTGGGCTCAAGCAATCCTGCCTTGGCCTCCCAAAGTGCTGGGATTATAGGTGTGAGCCACTGTGCCTGCCCAAAGGTAAATTTGCACACACAGACAGACATGCATAGAAGGACAATGGCCACTATAAGTCAAGGGATGCCTGAGCCAGGAGAGAGGCTGGGATAGATTTTTCCTCAGAGCCTCCAGAGAGAGCCCGGCCTGCAGACACCTGACTTTATGCTTCCGGCCTTCCGACTGGGAGACAACAACTTTTTATTTTATTTATTGATTTATTGAGACAGGGTCTCACTCTGTCACCCAGGCTGGAGTGCAGTGGCATGATCTCAGCTCACTGCAGCCTCATTCTCCTTGGCTCAAGCAATTCTCCCACCTCAGCCTCCTGAGTAGCTTGGGAACACAGACACATGCAACGATGCCTAGCTAATTTTTTTTTTTCTGAGATGTATTCTTGCTCTGTCCCCTAGTCTGGAGTAAAGTGGTGTGATCTCAGCTTACTGCAACCTCCACCTTCTGGGTTCAAGCAGTTCTCCTGCCTCAGCCTCCTGAGTAGCTAGGATTACAGACACGCGCCACCACACCCAGCTAATTTTCACCATTTTGGCCACGCTGGTCTCGAACTCCTGACCTCATGATTTGCTTACCTCATCCTCCCAAAGTGCTAGGATTATAGGTGTGAGCCACCACTCCCGGCCTTGTATTTTTTCAGTAGAGATGGGGTTTCATCCTATTGGCCTGGCCGGTCTCAAACTCCTGACCTCAAGAGATCCTCTCATGCTCCCAAAGTACAGGGATTACAGACATGAGCCATGGCATCTGGCCTGAGACAACAAGTTTGTCTTGTTCTAAGCCACTTAGTTTGTGGCACTTTGTTACAGCATCCCCAGCAAAGTTACACCCAAGGAATAATCCATTTCATTGTTAAAGGACACAGAAGCTCATGCCCTCGGTCATTCATGAATGTGTAATTAGATTTTGGCCAGGAACAGAGGCTCATGCCTGTAATCCCAGCACTTTGGAAGGCTGAGATGGGAGGATCACTTGAAGCCCAGAGTTTGAGGCCAGCCTGGCCAACATGGTGAGACCCCATCTCCACACACACACGCAAATATTAGTTGGGCTTGGTAGCATGCACCTGTAATCCCAGCTACTCAGGAGGCTGAGGTGGGAGGACTGCTTGAGCCTGGGAGTAAGAGGCTGCAGTGAGCTGTGATTGTACCACTGCACTGTAGCCTGGACAACACAGGAAGTTCCTATCTCTTAAAAAGAAGTCCCTATCTTAAAAAAAAAAAAATCGAACACATTGATTTTGTATTTTTGTTGTTGTTACTGTTGTTTTTTGAGATGGAGTCTTATGCTCTGCCCAGACTGGAGTGCAGTGTTTCAATCTCGGCTCACTGTAACCTCTACCTCCTGTGTTGAAGTGATTCTCGCACCTCAGCCTCCCTAGTAGCTGGGATTACAGGTGTGCACCACCACACCCAGCTCATTTTTATATTTTTTAGTAGAGATGGGGTTTCACCATGTTGGCCAGGCTGGTCTCAAACTCCTGACCTCAGGAGATCCACCCGCCTTGGCCTCCCAAAGTGCTGAGATTACAGATGTGGGTCACTGCGCCCGGTCAATTTCATGTTTTGGCTGAGTTGGGTCTGGCAGGTGTATGGTTAATAAACCAGGCCTAAATATTTCTAGGCTACTGGTGGCTCGGGCATGCACTGGCAGCAATGTTGTGGGTGGTGATATTGACTTCGAACATGGATGAAAACAAGATCTGGTCTCCATTTTTCACCCAGAGGGCGTCGATGAGCTGACCTAGGGGATTAAAGGACAGGTACATGAGGCCATGTGTACATCCTGTTAAAGGGGATACCAACTGCTGGGACCCCAGCCCCCCTGCCACCACCCAGCCCACCCGGCCAGTGGCTCTTCCATGTTCGTTATAGCCTTTTAGAGGTTTGCTATTCAAAGGAGGATGAATCAAGGAAAGTACGGGGCTGGGACACAATTCTGTTACACATGACAAGGAATATGCTTTGGTTCAAGAAAATCCATGGCCAGGCACGGTGGCTTACGCCTGTAATCCCAGCACTTTAGGAGGCCAAGGTGGGAGGATCACCAGAGGTCAGGAGTTCGAGGCCATCATGGTCAACATAGTGAAACCCCAACTCTACTAAAAGTACAAAAATTAGCCAGGTGTAGTGGCACATGCCTGTAGTCCCAGCTACTCGAGAGGCTGAGGCCAGAGAATCCTGGGAAGTGGAGGTTGCAGTGAGCTGAGACCACACCATTGTACTCCAGCCTGGGTGACAGAGTGAGACTCGGTCTAAAAAATAAAAATAAAACGAGAAAACCTGATCCTTCTGCCAGGCAAGGGGGTGCATGCTTGTAATCCCAGCACTTTGGGAGGCTGAGGTGGACAGATCACTTGAGGTCAGGAGTTCAAGATCAGCCTGGCTAACAAGGTGAAATCTTGTCTCTGCTAAAAATACAAAAATGAACTGGGCACGGTTGCATGTGCCTGTAATCCCAGCTACTAAGGAGGCTGAGGCAGGAGAATCACTTGAACCTGGGAGGCGTAAATTGCAGTTAGACGAGATTACACCACTGCACTCCAACCTGAAAAACAGAGCAAGACTCCCCCTTAAAAAAAAAAAAATTCAGGGAAAACCAAGATATCTGCAGATAATGCACCGTGTCACTTTCCCTGTGCACTTTTCCTGCCTCTACGTAGACAGCTCCTAACATCACCATGAGATCCTGGTGAAGGAGGGGTGGATACTGGGGTTGCTATAGTTTAATGAACCATTTTTCCCCCGGAGAGAGATGCTCATCTTCTGTCAGATTCCCTTGAGTGTTTTTCCACCCCTTGCTGTGGATGGTTTACCCTCAGGGCATTTCTCCATGAAGCCACCAGGTGACGCCATTGCTTCATAAATGAAACAAACTGACCCAACATTAGAAAATAGTGTTCTACTTTCCTTGAGCTGGGTAGGGTAAGTCAAACCTGTAATCCCAGCACTTAGGGAGGCTGAGGTGGGTAGGTCACTTGAGGCCAGGAGTTTGAGACCAGCCTGGCAGCATGGTGAAACCCTGTCTGTACTAAAAATACAAAAATTAGCCAGGCATAGTGATGCACACCTGTCATCCTGGCTACTCGGGAGGCTGAGACAGGAGAATTGATTGGGAAGCAGAGGTTGCAGTGAGCCAAGATTGCGACTCTGCACTCCAGCCTGGGTAACAGAGTCAGACTCCATCTCAAAAAAA